GTGTAAGGTGGAGGGATGGGATAAACCCAAAGCTATGATTCCAAGATGTCTGGTTGGCCATAAGGCAGGGACCTAAAGCCGGAACCCTCCCCTGACAATTTCAGCAACTTCTCCCTCGCTTAAATGACCAATGTACCCACAGGCAGTGTCATAAACATACTCAGAACAGACTTTGTACCTTGTCATATACTTTATAATCTTGCCTAATTGTTCTCTGTGAGTACTATTTTCCCCACAAAACAGTTAAGTCATTTGAGAGCAGGGCCTCGGGCCATATGTGCTCCACAATACTGAGCTCATAGATACGGGGCCCAGCACAAATAATACCCCCTTAATGTTACAAAATCATCAGCATGTAATTCTGTAACATAACTACACACACTCAAGCACAGCATATGGCATTTCAGGTGAAATGTCGAAGTTAAAACTATGAATTATCACACGCATGACATTACCCCACCAGCCACGCCGACAAAGGCGTGACTTCAGCCGGACCCTGCGTGCAGTTGAGTTGAGCTGCACTGAGCTTTCGCGTGTACTATTGATGGTGGGAAAACTGTAGAAACCACCGTGAATTAAGTGTATCGATCTCGAGAGGAGGGTGTGCTGTTTATTCATTTGCCTGGAATGACACCTGTTATCATCAGGTGTTTGACAAGAACGAGGCAGCTTCCCGACAAAAGGAAACGCACGCAGTGAGGCCCGAATGCAGGATGTCTCCCTGGGAAACACTCGCTTGGAGCAGAACAGTTTCAGTGAATAAACCACCAAGGGACTTAAAATTGCAAACTTTCCTAGTTCTTAAAAAAAAAAAAAATTAAACTTTACTTTTCAGTAACAGCTGACACTCGACACTGTTTTGCATTAGTTTCACATACTTTACAAAGTGACCCTGTTGGTATTTCCAGTGCCCACCTGGCACCATTCGTAGATATCGCAGTGTTACTGACTATACTCCCTACACCGCACTTTACACCCCAGGACTATTCTGTAACTACCAGTTTGTACTTCTCAATCCCTTCGCCTTTTTCACACAACTCTCCCACCTCCCTCCCCACTGGCGACCATTGGTCTGTTCTCTGTATCCAGGAGTCCGTTTCAATTTTGCTTTCTCAGCAAACAACCCTATTTCCTTAGGAGAAAGGAAGTGACCTTTGGTGATGGTCTACAATAAGTGATGGAAGTGTGCTGCCCTTTGCTGCTTATCATGGACTCAGCCCTGTCCTCACAAGCACTTTTGGAGACTCAGCTGATTCAATCTTCACAAGCGCGTGAGGGAGACAGGGTGAGAATACAGATTCAGGAGCACACACCATTCCTGAGGCAGCGTGGGAAGGTGGCGTGATGGGAACACAGGTCTGAGTCCCAGCCCAGCCCTTGACTGTCTGTACTACAGCGCACCTCCCCTCATCCTCGGAGCCACCCAGACCGACGCTTTCCCAGGCTGTTGATGTGGCACCGGGAGCCTGAGTTAAAGGAACTGCCCGAGGTTGGTTCAGGTCTTTCTGACTCTGAAGCTCCTGCAAGAGAGTTTTGCTACATGGAGCCTCACAGTCCCTAGTCCTGCACTGCACTTATCCTCATCTCTCTACCCCGTGACTGTCCATCTGTCTCCACCACACACACGAAAAGGAAAAAGGTGTAGTCCCATGAGAGAAGTCAGCAGTGAAGAAACATGCTACATGCCACATCGTTCTTTGGCGAGTCTTGGCTCCTGGGATTCTGTGCCTGACTCTCCTCCTCCCTTGAGCCCTTCAGTGTGAGCCCACTCACTCCTGGGAACCCTCCTTGACCCCACCCTCTCTCTCGAGTCAGGTGCTCTTGCTCTGCCCCCGACATGCCGCTGGATTCTCACCTCTGCTATTCCAGCACCCCTCACACTCTGCCCATCCCCCACCCAGACCCCGCCCAGCGTCTGCGGCATCACCAGCATCTGGCACACTGCCCAGGCCAGCGCACCATGAACGAACTTGACAGCTTGAATGAAAGCCTGTAGGTCGCTGTGTAGGTAGGTGGTCCCTGAATGGCACCATTTCATTCGACGCTGATGAGATGCCATAGGAACTTAGCTCTTGTTTATATCAATTAGTCTGTGGTGAAGTTGGTTTTGTTATATGTCATTTCACTGCAATTCCAAGAAGCTGCTGACTTGCTATACAGCACTTACCATGGAGAAAAAAAGGTGTCAGGGTCAAGTGCCACTGCCGGGGGCGTAAAAAAGATACCTGGCAGACGACTGCCACCTGAGCTTGGTGATTTTCAGGGAGAGAGTGAGCATTTAAAATGAAAAGCTCCTTGAATGGAGACCACAAACCTAGGAAAGTACAATGCTGTTTTACAGGATCTGTATCAGATTTTTAAAAATTAATTTCATTTATTGATTTTAGAGAGAAAGAAGAAGGGGTGGTGGGAGGAGGAGGAAGTGAGGGAGGAAGAAAAACGGGGGGAGAGAAACAAATAGAGAAAGAGAGAGAGAGAAACAGCAATTTGTTGTTCCACTTAGTTATGCACTCACTGGTCCATTCTTGTATGTGCCCTGACCAGGGATTCAACCTGCAAACTTGGCCTATGGCGATGATGCTCTAACCCATTGGTCCCCAACCTTTTTGGCATCAGGGACTGGTTTCATGGGAGACAATTTCTCCACAGACCCCAGGTGCGGAGGGTGGTTTGGGGATGACTCAAGTGCATTATATTCAAGCTCAATTTGTGCTGGGAGCCCGGGTCCTAACAGGCCCAGACCACTACTGGTCCACGGCCCAGGGGTTGGGGATCCCTGCTTTAAAGTGATTTTCACTTGGCATTTTTAGAATGGGAGTGATTCTGAAAGACAGTAGAAAGAAGCCTGCATAAAATGAACTTAATTGCTCAATTTTTCTCCCAGTAATGGACTTCCTATCTTTGGGTCTTGTTCTACCACCCTTGCCTTGCACTTCAGCTACCCGCCTCCTCATCGCTCCCAGTCGCCAGTTCATCCCAGCCCCGGGGCCTTTGCATACACAGCTGCCTTTCCCTTGCACTCTTCCCTCTGCGCCATCCCTGCAGGTCCCTTCTGGTTCAGCTCAAATGTTGCCTCCTCTCAGAGGCTTTCTCGGACCCGCTCTTCTCAAGCAGGCCCCCCGTGATCCTGTATCACGCCAGTCAGCTGCCTCCTGCCCTCCCTGCCCACCCTGCCCCAGGCAGAGAGCTCGTTTCATAACTCTCGCACCTAAAATAGAGGTCTTGCCTTTGGCCTTGTCCAGTATGCTTTCTACCACCCCAGTGTGCTCTGGTGGCGCTACAGATACAATGTTTTAAAACAAAAAAAGTTTCTATTAACTACGATGACATCAGGAAATTAAATTAAGAAACCACTTTCCAAGCAACTGAAGTTTTATTTTAATGTTTCTATTTCATTTCAACTCCCAAATATAACAAGTACATCTTTGGAAAAGCACAGCACAGAGACATTAAAGCTTATCAAATGTTTTAAAGGCTTTATATTTTCTAAAGCTTTTATTATTCCTCCTCTGGCTCTATCATTGTCTTAATTTCACAGAAAACTAGCATCTCTTGATTCTATTTTACTGTTTGCCACAGGAATTATTCCAAATTTCTTAACTTCCAAGCAACAGATTAAATTCTTCAGACTTCTTTCAAAACAGCTAAGGGGAAATCCCTGATGATTTCAGCTGACAATTCCTTAATCAGGAAAAGATTTTAAATGCTAATCACCAGAAAAGTTACGGTTTACAGGAAAGAAAGGGGAAATGCTGACATATTGCACAACATCCCACGAAGAAAGCAGGGTTTATTAATCGAATGGCATAACTCACGCTGACAATTTTATCAAGAATGCCTAGTGATATCACACACTGTGTTGGAGCAAATGAGTTGTTTCTATTGTCACTGTTTCTGAGAGTCCAAGGTAAAAATAAAATTGACTCCTTTGAAGGTTTTATGGAAAAAAATGAAACATCGGACAATCTGTGCAAGCCCCCGCCCTGGCCCCCGACTTCCATGAAGATTCTGGGTTTTAAATGAAACAAAGAACTGAGCTGCAGACAGTTCTGATTTGGTGTCTAATTCCACCCAGAAGTGGAGAGAGTGCTTCCCTCCGTGGCTTCGGTCACTCGGCGGAGGACAGGAGGAGTCTGCCTCTGGCTGTGGGTGCAGATACGGAAGTTCTCTGCAGGTGGGCAGCAAGGCAAACGCCACGGTTGGCTCCCCAGGACAAACCCCCCCCCCAAGTTACAAGAGAAAGACGGTGTAAAGGTAGTAACTACCACTGTGTAACTGTGACCCCCAACTAATCTGGTAAAATCAGTCAGGTTTCCGTGGTAGTGATTATGTAACACATTAAAAATGACATCACCAGGAGCCCTGGGTTTTCCCCTTGCAGTTGACATCAACTCATCGATCCACTACTCGCTTTATTAGTGCTTTATTAGAAGTGGTTACAAACATGCAAGGCATTTATTTCCTAAACACATCTGGTTCATCATGACACTGTAATTCAGCAGTGGAGATGAAGTAAAATTTATCGTCTTCCGTAAATGAACAGGAAACAGAGACCAGAAGAGCGCCGGCAGCCTGACACAGGCCTCAGTGACTCGGTCCCAGAGTCCGCCTCAGCCTCAGTGCAGATGGGGCCTTAAGCTTTTACCCATGAGGTTGGCTAATCCAGGCATTAGATTATTCATTAGATTGGCTGAGGGAGTAAAAGATCACTGGAGAATGAACAAGACACGGGTAGGTACACAGAAGACTAAGGACAGGGACTTAAAGCCACCGGATTCCAATGTGATTACAGGGAAGTTAGTACTAAGAAACTATGAAGTTGGTCTTCATTTTAAAAGCTGTATTAAGTAGCCAAAATGGAAAGTGACCATGAACTTCCATTTAACCTGAGAGCAACTACTATCGTGTGGTGGGCGCTCATCACAGGCTGGGTGCTGCCCCACCCACCCACCCGCCCTCCGCTCACGCTCCCTTTTAGTCCCCATGGCAATCCCACCGCGTTCCGGCTCCCACCTTAGAGAGAAGGAAGTTGGGAGTATAAAGGTGAAGTAGCTTGCCCCTCATCTCACACCTGTCCAACTCTAGTCTGAGTTACTGACCAAGGATGTATCTGTCTTCTCTGGGCACTTAGGAGCTGGTCTCCTGAGTACCCTTCTGGGTCCTAGCAAAACATTTCCAGCACTTTCTGCTGTCTCATCCTACTAATTACATAAACAATTAACATTTCCCAGTAGAAAGATAGCATCGATCGTGCCTATTTAATCACACCTCATTCCACTTTAGTGTCCCTGCTTTAAAGCCCCGCCTATCACAGCAGAAATGAAAAAGAAACACCGGCTTCCAACTTCATGTGTTTTATTACTTTTCTGGGGTTCTCACAGCAGAGCTCTAACGTTCCCTCCTTGAAAACCTTGTAACCACAGACTGGTGCTTCTTGTTTCGACAGTCTAATCTTATTAGATCGCTGCAGGCCCTGCTCGGTTCTCTGCGATTTCGGACCAGCTGAAGCCGTGAAAAACATTACGGTGAAGGAGTCACAGACCTGACATGAAACTGGAGTTGTGGGAATTTGAACAACTAATAAAACACCTCGATGGGAAGCTGAAACAATGACCACAATGGAATGAATCACTAATGTTCACTTAAGATTTTTTATGCAAAGTCCCCAAAGTGCTCCATGAATGTTTGATAACAGTAAACTCCTATGCAATAGTAAGTCCTCTCTGGACGCTCATGACACAATTCCTCCACGGACGGCTGGCCCGGACTCCTGTGGTTGTGCTCAAAATGCCCCCAGGGGCTGGCAGGTGGTTCCAAAAGTGCACTCCCTCTGTCTACAGAATAAAGACATTGTACAGAGGAAGAAGAATTTGAGCTGGGGCAGATTTTAGCAACTGACGTGTGCTTGCCTGAACTGGTGGGGGAGGGGACTGTAGGAAGTTGGGGGTGGGGGCTGGCCATGCAGCTCAGAAGGGAGAGAGAAGCAAATGGCTTCCCGAGGAAAGTAATTTAGAAACTCTTCTGCACACATCACCTTTGTATGATGTGGCCCCATGACTCAGTGTTCGGCTGTGTGCAAGTGAAACATTATTTCCCCTCTAGGTCTCTACGCTCCCTTCCCCAGATATAGCCTATAACCTCAACTGTCTCAGCAGCCAAAAGCAGATGACTAAGGACAAGGCCAGAGGGTGCAACTTTGGGTTGTTGTTTAGCCTGTATTACTGGTAGCAACCAGAACAGCATAAAATGCCACCATGAAAGGTAAAAAAAAAAATGTTCTCTGACTCAGGAAACACATCAGGAGAGGAGAATTTTCAACTGAGTGACTTTAAAGTCAATAACAAAATGAATATTGTGCTTGGGATTTTTCATCCTAAAGCAGAGAGCAAAAGCCTAAGACTCCGTAGTTAGCATCCTGTAACATTTAGGTCATGAAGAGTAATGAGAAGAATTTTCACTTTTCATTTGGGTTTATACTGTTTATAAAAAAAAGGTACCAGGCTCTAATTGGATTATAAACCCCAGCAGCACCTCTGGGGTGAGGGCAGGAGCCCAGATGGGGACCGAGACAGTGCGGGGGCGGCAGCCACTCCGCGTGGGTGAGAGGGAAGACCCCGTGCCCTCAGATCTGGAGTTGTTAAAGTAAGAACTTGGAAACGCAGGCCGCCATGTGAAATCTCTCCGTGTCGGTGTCGCAACTAACTGCTATAGGCATGCACGGCTATGTGGGCCAAACCAAACACATCTGTGGGCTGGATCCAGCTCACGGACTCTGGTGTCTGACCTCAGCGACCACAGCAGTGGGTTTTAACCCTTAAACAGTTAAAAGGAAACAAGATCTGACACATCCTCTGGGGAGTAAATTACACTGTTGCTCAGGCAAAAGGCTCTTTAAAACTCTACTGTGTGGGGTTTTATAAGTAAGTCCAAGAAGCTGATGAGTTCATTCTACTAACATTGTCCAGTTTCCAGCTTGGCCGCTGGAAGGAGGTCGGTATCAGGAGATCTGAGGGGCAAGTCAGGGAAGGCGGTCAGCGAGGAGGTGTTCTGTGGCACCCCAGTCTGAGGTCTCAACGACCGACTCCAAGCTGGGGCCCACACCAACTATTTAAAAACCCAGGCTTTGCTCTTTGCTGCTGCTGGAGACAGAGGGGCCCGAGACATGCGCCGACCCGGGTCTTCCAGCTGGCAGCTCCACGGGACCGATGGGAAGGTTCAGCCAGAGAGAAAAGAGCCGTAGTCCCCTTCTGCTCCGACGACACGTTGCAAAACGGAGACCACACGATGGCTGGCTGGCTGCCTGTCTTCCTTATCGTGCACAAGGCGTCACGCCATACGCCAGGCTTCTAGCCCTCTTCCTATTCTGCTCATGGAAGATTTCTAAACATAGCCATCGCACATGTGTTCAGAAGGAGGGGGGTTTCTATTTTAAAGAAGGGAAAGTTCCTTGTCTCTGGCTGTGTGGCTTGAAATGGACAACCCACTAAGGCCTACCAGGAACCAATGATCCTCGGTGTTAAAAGAGAGGAAGGGAAGGCAGATTTGGGACTCTTCCCTCCACACTCAGTGGGAGGAGAGCTGACCCGTGGCTGAGTTACAATAGGCTGGGGGAAATCTGTCCTCACTGGCCTGGCTACCACCTTAACCTGCTGTTTCACCCACTGCCTAACACAGGGACAACACTAAGTCCTGAACTTTGCAGACTGTTTACATTTGCCAGGCACAGGTCTGAGTGCTTTGCATGTATTAACTTATTTAGTCCTCCCACAGCCCCGAGGACGCAGGTACTATCATTAGCCCCGTTTTACAGAAGTGGAACCTTAAGCACAGAGGCTAAGTATTTTGCTGAAGGTCACACAGCTAGTGACGGGGGAAGAGGAATCCACACCCAGACAGTCTGGCTCCGGTGCCGTGCCCTTTACTATTTAACTAGACAACCTCTCAAAATGAAGATGGGATAACAGGGTGACTGCCATAATCTGAGACGGGGCTACCTGCTGAGTAGTTCGAAGACTTGGAAGTTTTCTTCTGTTCTAGTGGAAAAGAAATGTGCTGCTCTCACCTTTTGTGTAGGTCTCAGAAGAGCAATTACGCACATAGAAAAAACACCAGAGAAATTTCAATACACATCTGACTCCAGTGCGTGCACAGCGAGTCTGCACCGCATCGTTTTATACACAGACATGCGCACACACATATTCAGGCACAATCACTGTGCGGAGGAGAGAGGAAGGGGCGGGGCGGTGGCCGGAAACAGCTGTCTCTCAGGGGTCCCAGCCCCTGCACATCTCCCTTACGGTGCAGGTCTTGTGTGAAGTGCAAGTTTGTGATTTAAAGGGGAGTGAGTTTTTTTGTGGAACACGGCTCCTCCGAGCAAGCCAATTAACAGTTCACCTGGTGCTCAACAGAAAAGGGAGAACTACAGCTCGTGAGATATGAGTGTCTGCGCAGGACTGACTGGGAGACTGGGCCTCGGCCTGACAAACTCGCAGGCGTAATCTTTAGTGTAGTCCTCGCCTTACACACTTCAGAAACTCAGCTTCCTGCATGAACTGCAATCAAATTAACTTCAGTGTGTATTACCTCAAATTTTCTCATATTATTCTCAAGCATTTCTCCAAAGACAAAATCTGTGAATCCCGAAAGAGCGCCCAGTGAACACGGAAGCCTGCAGTGTGACTAATGATGCTTTACTGTTGTTAAGTGCTTTTCTCATTTCTAGCTCTCCTAGACTATACGCGCTGTGAAGGCAGGAACCAACGTGTAACAATGACTGACAATACCTATCCAGTGAGAAATAAATGCCACGCAAATTCCTGTACTAAAGGGCAATGATGTACCTCAACCAGGAAAGTCACGTTGTACGTGCAGGTGTGTGTTTCTAAGCTCCTCGACCAGGCGAGCAACTCCCCTTTACCTTCCATTTACTCAGCGTCTATTTCAATGTAACTCCACATCCCTTGCTGGGCGATCTCACTCACTGCCCTATATCCACCAGATGCCGGAGATGCCCAAATTCTTACGTCTCCGCCCAACTCTTCCCCTGAGCTACGGATCTTATTTTCCAGCTGCCCCCGGGATATCTCTGCCTTACAGGAGCAGCTCAAGGCCAACGTTCCTAGAACTAAGTTTTACCTTCACCTCCCCAGCCCAACTACACTTCCCCTTCTCCGGAGTGAGGGCTTGTTCACTGCTGCAGCTAAGGTGAGACTCTGGTGCCAGACAAATCCATAACCACATTTTCAGGAGACACCGACTAGTTGTGTGACGTTAGGCTCCTCTGAGTTTAGACTTCTACCACTCTAAGACGGCCACGATGTCCCTTATACACCGTAGAGTTGTCACGAGGACTCAGTCAAACCACACAGTAGATTCCTTAGCTCAGTGCCTGGCACACTGTTCCGGCAGGAAAATGGTGCCTTCACTGTTCCCCAGGCCAGCAAATTCGGCCTAAATGTCTCTGACCCCCTAACCGGGAGAACTCAAAGCCGTGTTCACTTCTGATGGTCCCCCCACACCCTCTGAATTCAAACGGCCCCCAAGTCTGTCAACTCTGCTCCTCCAGCTCCTAACTGGCTCCGTCCTCGCCATCCCCACTGCTCCTGCCTTCACTTCGGCCCTCGCTTTGGATACACCACGGTCACCCCTTGCTAGTTTGTTTCCTGGCTCCTGGTCTCTCTGCACTGGAGCCCACACATCACAGTGACACCGCAGCCACCCGTTAGAACCTACATCCATCAGGTCGCTCCTGTGCCTGAAAACCGTCACTGGCCCCCACAGGGAAAGTCCGCACCCACATTTTAAAGAAACAGGGTGGGAGCTATCACTCACCATGTTAATAACTTACCAGAACCTTTCTATATATTTTTCACGCAATCATCACACCAATGCCAGTGAAATAAATATAATTATCCTTGTCTTAGAGATGAAAAACACAAGGCTACTCGTTACCCACTAATGGAAGTCGAATGTCGGTTCACAGCCAGGTTTGACTCCGGCCTGTACCTCTGTCAGAGTGATGAATTCCCATCTTATCCATGGAAATAAACTCTCAAGGTCAAGGCACAAAATGCAAATCCCCTTCAAATCTCTTAGAAAGGCTGAACACAGCCCATGGCCAGTGCTTCCCTTAGTGTTGGGAAGGACGCTGTTCCTCTGGCCGACATGAGGGGAAGGGGCCAGCACACATCCCCTGTACCATTGGACCAGCTGTTTTCTCTCCATTCATGCTGAGTGTGCAGAGCTGGATTCGTGTACAGCAATTGGGGGACACGGGTCAGACAGCCCCTGCAGTGCCGAGAATACTGTCTGTCCCTCCCAAACAACTGGAGGGGCAGAGACCCTTTGTCTTTGCATTCGTGGCGCCCGGCATCACACTCACACACAACAGACAGCTGATTTATACACTTGTGTGGAAAAGTTAACACCCCCTCTTCTTTGTCTTGTAATTCAGCTCCTTCAACAGTCATCACAAACTTCAAGTGGGTTGAGTGTGAATTAGGAGGATCATGAGCGGGCCCTTGGTTGGCCCTGCACCACCGATGATCTTCTGGCCACGGGGCCTTGCTGGCCTTCGTGGTCTGCACTGCGGGTCGGTGCTGCACGCTCAGCCCGACTCTGCAGGTGTCCCCCCAGCTGAGAGCAACATCTGCAGAGTAAGGAGTCCGACAGTTCCCACGGACTCCTCTGAGTCAAAGCTGAAGTGCAGGTTCATGGGTGGAGCCAGCAGCTCTGAAACCTGCCCCAGGTTCTGGTCTAGTGTGGTCAGGAACAGGAAATTGAACCTCTGGTATTTTGGGCTTTGATTCCACCCTGCCCTTAAACAGCACTCAGT